AGTTCGTAAAATTCAGAAGTGGAAAAGTAAGATGTGTAGTTAAGGATGCAGCACGATGACTATATTGCATATAAAGTATATGATAAGTTTTATACCCACACACATAATAAATGTATGCATTTCACACTTTGCCAAACATGGAATGCGACAAATATTTAACTGTGGCTATTTGTTCAGTGGTAGGATTGCAGATAATTTTTATTTTATGTATTTCTGATTTTTAAAAATGTACCATAAATGGCATGCATTTTATAACCAAATATAGGTCATAAACATTTTAATGTGCCTTATAACATTGTAACAGTCCATCAGGAGGTAAAGAAATGAGGATGCATTTCTACCCTTGGTACACATATTGATTTAGGTCTTTTACTTCCCTTTCAGATAACGTTTTACAATTTGAGAGAATTCAGTTGATACAGCTCAACTCACACGCGCTATGCAAGAGAAAAGTGACCTCATCGGCTAAGGCTGAGCTAACTCCCTATTCTCACCATGATATTTATATAGTGTCCTGATGCCATGATGCTAACAGATTAGAAGCAAGCTCTATTCTTGGAGCAACAGGAATTTGGTCAAATAATGCCAAAGATGGGATTATTGTCTCATCAAAGCCTTCCATCAGCATTGTCTTTCTTGCCCTGTGCAGTTTTCTCAGTTCAATAAAGGATTAGAACACAATGCCTGTTTGGAGAATTGTGATTTGATACTGCATCAATATCTTTCTGAGAGGTGTTTTTCATTTTCCTCCCACTGTTACTTTTTAAGCCTTAGGAGAATTAGTTGAAAAGCCAGGTCTTTTGGTGGATGCTAACATTAAGCCCTCTACTTTGTCACTTGGAATCATAAATCCCAGAAAACAGCTCCTAATTCCATTTCATGTTGTTTTCTTAGAAAATGATTGACAGGTTCCTTTTATTTTTTTAAACCTCGACACACCTCCTGCACTTGCTGACTTTCTAGCAGTCATTTACAGAGCTCTGCTCCTCAAAGGCATCAGGTGTGTGTTGATTGCCCAGCCTTCTTCTCCAATTAGGCTGGTTCATCCAGTGTCTCTGAACACACACACCACACACCACACACACACACACACACACACACACACACGATGAGGCTACTATCATACTCCCCACTTTTGTCCACTGAACTGAAATCCTGCAAGCATTGAATCAAGCAAGATCATCCCATGAACCTTCCTAGAATTTCTCCTAATTTGGATTTCTCAGCAGCCATCACAACTGAAGTCTACAGAGTAGTGCACTTAGACCCAGGCAAGATGGGCCCCTGGATTTTAGGCTTTAGAGCTCAGGTATGACTCCTTTTGGCCATGGCCTTCCCTTTGGGACAAAAAGGTCCATAGACTTAAATGATATGCCTGCCTGGAGCCTGTACCCTCCCTTCTGGACCATGCTGTGGGCCCCAGAATCCCCTGCCCCAATGGCCACATAGTCTCTCTCAGGGATTTCATGCCTTTTACTTGGGTCCATCCCTCTGAACAGACAATATCACAAGTGCATGATTCTCCAAGGTCCAAGGCCCAAGGGTCAGGTATCCAGATGTGTGGACCGAGGTATTCCGGTACATTCACATGGTCCCTCAAGATGTCAGACTAGGGGGCAATGTGAAGGAGAAGCAGTCAGTGCCCAGAGCCAGCTTTCCCAGCTCTGCCATACTGAGTCTTCCTGATTTTACCATTAGGCCCCAACATAACACTCAGGCTATTTAGCACATTCTCCAGCTGAATTTACTAGTGTTCATGGGCACCCTGAGTTAGAAATAGATTTCATTTTAAAGTAACACAGAAACATAGCAGAAAGAGAAAGGGTTAATAAGATTAAAAATAAAGGAGGTAATAAGCAGTATGAGCTGCATTCTTGAGAGATGATTTCATGTAACCCCCTAACAACTGTGTGGAGTTTCATTGTCTCCCTTTCAAAATTAGGAAACTAAGGCTGAAAAGAGCTGGCTGAGTTTTGCCATGGTCTCACAGGAGGGGACAGCATCTTCTTGACACCACAGCCCAATCTGTCTTCATTGAACCCTCCCAGGTTCTAGCTCAGACGTCTCCTAGATGTCCATGTCAAACACACTTCAGAGAGTAACCAGCAGATACGAGTTTCCTGTTTGTGTGTGTTGTGGTTAGCAACTGGAAAGTTGGTTCTAAAAAGTTCATTTTGCAAAGGCTGATGCTCACAGGCTGGAGAGCAGATTTAGAAGATTCGTGGTGGCATAAAGGTGGCTCTTCCTGTCTTGGGATCAGCTAATTAGTTATTGAAGGTGGTATATTCTAACTTTGGAGAGATGGAAGATTGGGAGTTTCAAAAACCTTTGCAGATGTTGACCTTGCAGAGCTGAGCAAGTGTCAGTTTTTTTTTTTCTTCTTGCAAATAGTACAACTTTCCTTATCTACCATGGAACAGATCTTAATAGAGGACAGACGTTTGTGGCATGAGGTTAGTGAATCTTAAACTAAACAATGTATGTCCCTTGGGTGTGTGGGATTTCTGAAGAAGAGACTTTATGCACATATTTAAAAGTAGCAGGAAATTATAGAGCAGCCTCCTTCACCTGAGGGGACTGAATCCCAGAGGGAGCTGGTGACTTAGCCAAGAGAATAAGTAAGAGCTAGAAGGACAGGTCTCTTTCCATTCCTCCAGGGTACTCCTTCTATAGCCTAAAATGCAGCTGATGGCTGACTAAGCCATGTGTGTATATATTTTTTAAATAATGCTAAAGTCCAATCAAATGTGGTAAGTGTGGATACTACACCTATAGATGTGGATGTGAGGAGACTATGTACAAAAGAAAAGAACATTTAACTATTAGGTCTTCAAGGACAAATGCTCCCCACCCTGAGCCTTCCAGGGACATTCTTCTGAATCATTGAAGATTGATTGCTGTAAGAGCTTTCAAACCCTTATCTCACTAGGAAAAGGTCTTAATGTTGATAAATTTAAGTACATACCACTGCTTTGTTGTTAGGTTTATGGGAACCTTGTAAATACTTTAAGAATGCTTTGCTTTGTGTGAATCCATAAAAATGAAAGAATATGACCTAGGAGGGAGGAATTGAAGTAGGAAAAAAATCTTATTTCTTTTTAATGTTCTGAAATACATGTGGCTTTATTCAACCATAAGGTAAACAGAGCATGGAATTTATCAGGAAAAAAAAGTCAAGAAGACTGGTTGTGCAGCTTTTCTTATTTCAGATATTAATGAATCAAAGAGAAGTAAAATTTCTATTTACCTGAAGATATTAGATGTCTGATATTTAAGAACATTTCTATATTCTCATTTTATTTTACATTCCTGGAAATGTAGTTTTTCCAAACTTTTTATTGGTACATTATAGTTGTACATAATGGTGGGATTGTTATGTATTCATACATTCACACAGTGTAATAATAGAGTTTGGCCAATATCATTCCCCATTCTCTCTCTCTCTCTCTCTCTCTCTCTCTCTCTCTCTCTCTCTCTCTCTCTCTCTCTCTCTCTCTCTCGGTGGTGCAAGCACTCTACCAACTGAGCTATATCCCCAGCCCTATTTGCATTCTCAACCCTTCTCCCCCCCCTGGTCCCTTTACCCTACTGATCTCCCTTTGATTTTCATGAAATGCCCCCCCTTCCTTTTCCTTTTTCCTCTCTAGCTTCCACATAAGAGAGAAAACATACAGCCCTTGGCTTTCTGAGTTTGAGCTTATTTTCTGAACATAATGTTCTCAAGTTCTATCCATTTTCCTGCAAATGACATCATTTTATTCTTCTTTATATACCACGTTTTCTTTATCTTTTCATCCGTTGACAAACACCTAGGCTGGTCCCATAGTTTGTTTATTATGAATTTTGCTGCTGTAAACACGGGTATGCATTTATCACTGTAGTATGATAATTTTAACTCTTTAGGATAAATACAGGGGTGTGGTATAGCTGGGTCATATGATGGTTCCCTGCCTAGTCTTTTGAAAACACTTCACACTGATTTCCATAGCTCTCTTAATTAATTTACAATCCCATCAACAGTGTAAAAGAATTCGTTTTTCTCCACGTCCTCTCCAGCATTTACCATTTTTTGTATCTTTTTTATTTTTATTTGTTCTTTCTAGTTATGCATGACAGTAGTCCATTTTGATATAATTATACAAGCATAGAATATATTTTATTCTAATTAGGAACCCAGTCTTGTTGTGATGATGCTGAGACATGACTGCCATTCTGACAGGGGATGAAATCTCAGTGTATATGGCTTTTACTTTGCATTTCCCTAATTGCTAAAGATGTTGAGCATTTTTTCATATATTTGTTGGCCATTGTATTTCTTTTGTGACTGTTTAGCTTATTTGCCCATTTATTAATTGGGTTATCTGGGGGGTTTTGGTGTTAAGTTTTTTGAGTTCTTTATATATTCTGGATATTAATCCTCCATCAGAAAAGTAGCAAAGATTTTCTCCCATCCTGTAATTTCTCTCTTCACATTCTTAATTGTTTCCTTGGCAGTGTAGAAGCTTTTTAATTTTATGTCATCCCATTTACTAACTTGACATTATCCTGGAAATATCATTTTATCACAATAAAATTTATGGAATTTTATCTGATTTTACTTGCTTTCAAAAATATCTACAAATAATTTACCTGTATATTTGGCATAACAACATGCTTGTTGATTTTAACAACCCTAGGCCACATTTTAAATAAAGTAACTTTTCTAGGGATTTCTGTGAACACATCATATACACAGTAATGCCTAGCAAGGGTATTATTATTATTTTTTTAATTTCAAATAACTTCCTCTGCGCGCGCGCGCGCGCACACACACACACACACACACAAATGCTTTTTTTTTTTTTTTTTTTTGAGCTGAAACCCAATCCACTTAGGCAGTAAGAAAGAAAGTACCGCGGACCTCACTTGTGCCCGCTGCGACAGAGCAATACGGTAACTGCAGGAGATTACGGTACTAGCTGGGCTACAGCCCGAGTTACGTCAGCGAGAGCTGCAAAGTTCCTAGCCCGTTCTTCTCTAGTGTAGAGGGGCTGAATATTGAAAGGGTGATTGTGGAGTTGTTGGTGACTGTCGGGTTTTTTTTATTATTATATTATTTTCACTTTATTTTTAAATATCCAGGTATAGTGGTAACCAAGGAATTTGAAGGCATCGGTGGTAGAGGGGTGAGTCAGCGGGTGGAAGAGGACTAGGATTTGGTTCCTCGGAGAGACGGTCCCCTCTTCCCACGCCAAAGAGGCGGCAGGCGGCTCCGGGAACTGAAGCCCGCCCGCTCCTCCCCAGCGCGGGAGCGGCGGCAGCCTGTGCAGGCGTGCGGCAGGGCCGGGTGGGCGAGGCAGACTCCCCTGGCCTGCAGGTGAGTCGGAATCCCCTCTACCCCAAAGCCTCCCGCTTTTGTCGCCCGATTTACACCAGCACCGCTCCCCACCCGGTTTCCCTCCTGTATTCTGGGAAGTTATCTTCTAGTTAACAAGTGTCTCTGGCCCTCTAGGTATTGTCCCGAAGTAGGAGAGGACGGGTTTCTGCAGTGGCAAGCTTTTACCATCACCTGTGACGGCCTGAACTCGTGGTTTTCACGGTAGCCTTTGCCGGGGATTCCCGCCTCAGAACTCAACCCCTTAAGGCAAACTGGGCACGTCCCCCCGCCTCGCACTCGCGTCCCAAGTCCCTATGGTCGGCTCGCAGTGAAGGAAACCCGGTTTTCTCACGTAGATTATGGTCCCCATCCCAGAAAATCCGAGCGTCCTCTGCCCGCTGGCACGCGGGCTTGATTTTTACGCCTACAAAAATCCGCATTGACTGCCTCTTGCAAAGCCCCCTCTGCAGAGTAATGCGCTCCCCACCCCGTTCCCCAGCAGTCCGGGTGTGGCTCCCGACTGGAGCCTCTGGGGCGGCCAATCCTGCGGCTTGGAAACCCAGCCAGGACCGACCTGACCTGGGTCCCGGTCAGCCCTCGGGATCCGCTCGGTTTTGCTGCGGACCTGGCTTCCAGGCCCGCGTGGTTGGTGAACCCGCTAGCATCCCGCATCCCGGAGTGCGAATTCCTGGGGCGTGAGCGTGAACGTGCGCGTGGCTCTGGCCCTGCGCTTTCCGGGTAGCAGAGGTTCTCTCTCCCAGGCCGCCCCCTCCAGGTGACTGCGTTGCAACCTGTTCAAAAGACTAAGGGGTAGATCCTCTGGATTCCACCGGCTTTGGCTGAGCGCTACGCACGCCAGCCGCAGTCGCGCCTACCGGCTTAGGGATTTTTTTTTCCCCCGCTGTAGTGGCGCTCCGGGTCCAGTCTCCGGGCACTACAGCTTGGATTGCTATTGATGGGGGTTGTTCGGGGGGTTGGGGCGGGTTGTTGTTTTGTTTGCTCCCTCCTCCCACTTTGGATCTTGAACTTGGCCAGAGGCAGCCAAGCAAAGCTAGAGAGGGCAGGTTCCCGGCTGGGGACTGGGGGAGGAGGAGGGGCGTGCGGTCCACTCCAGTGTCATCTCGGTTTGGGCCGGGCAAGGCGGCTTCTGGCGGGGCTGCCAACTGGTGTCCGCAGTGCCTCGCTCCGCAGGGCGCCTGAATCACGGTCCACCTTTGATCTTTCAGGAGGGCGCAGGAAAAGAAGCACCGATGCGGCCACGGTCTCAGCAAACGTTTCACCCCTTTTCTCCCGGCCTGCGTGCCTAGAAGCTGGAGCTAGCAGGAGCCTACGGTGGGCCAGGAAACCCAAGGATAACTGAGGGCCGTGAGCAACGACCAGATGCAAAGGGCCCCTGTCTTTGAGCATCGACGGCTGATCTATACTTGCCTGTGGTTTGGGGGAAGAGTGGAGCTGGAATTTTCAATTCCAAATTATGTGCAGAATGCCCAGTTTTCTCCCCACTAGGACGGATCAGACGATACAGAAAAGAGGACTCTGGTAATTCTGGTTTTGCATTTTGCAAGGTTTCTCCTCGAGCTTTACGTCAAACGTCAGGTAGGGAGGGAGTTGGGGTCCTGGCCAGCGCAGTGAGTGGAGAGGTTCTCTGACAGCCTCGCGCGCCCCTGGCCATGTTGCCTTTACTGCCCTATGACTTAGCGTGGCCCTCCCAGGGTTCCCAGGGCTGGCCGGGGTTGTTCCCCACCCGCGCATTCTCCCTCACCCCCAGCCAAACTCAACTGGCAGGGCTCCGCCGAAGCGAGACCTTTTGACTCCAGCTCCTTCACTCCCGCCTCCGTCCCCCGCCCGAGGGTGGCCCTAGAGAGCCGGATCTCGCCGGCCGGGCTGGGACCATGGTGTTTCTCTCCGGAAATGCTTCCGACAGCTCCAACTGCACCCACCCGCCGGCACCAGTGAACATTTCCAAGGCCATTCTGCTCGGGGTGATCTTAGGGGGACTCATCATTTTCGGGGTGCTGGGGAACATCCTAGTGATCCTCTCCGTGGCCTGTCACCGGCATCTGCACTCGGTCACTCACTATTACATCGTCAACCTGGCTGTGGCCGATCTGCTGCTCACCTCCACGGTCCTGCCCTTCTCCGCCATCTTCGAGATCTTGGGCTACTGGGCCTTTGGCAGGGTCTTCTGCAATATCTGGGCTGCAGTGGACGTCCTGTGCTGCACTGCGTCCATCATGGGCCTTTGCATCATCTCCATTGACCGCTACATCGGCGTGAGCTACCCGCTGCGCTACCCGACCATCGTCACCCAGAGGAGGGGCGTCAGGGCTCTGCTCTGCGTCTGGGCGCTTTCCCTGGTCATCTCCATCGGGCCCCTGTTTGGCTGGAGGCAGCCGGCCCCCGATGATGAGACGATCTGCCAGATCAACGAGGAGCCCGGCTACGTGCTCTTCTCGGCGCTGGGTTCTTTCTACGTGCCGCTGGCCATCATCCTGGTCATGTACTGCCGGGTCTACGTGGTGGCCAAGAGGGAGAGCAGGGGCCTCAAGTCCGGCCTCAAGACCGACAAGTCCGACTCGGAGCAAGTGACGCTTCGAATACACCGGAAAAATGTCGCGGCAGGAGGCGGCGGAATGAGCAGCGCCAAGAACAAGACGCACTTTTCGGTGAGGCTCCTCAAGTTTTCCCGGGAGAAGAAAGCGGCCAAAACGCTGGGCATCGTGGTCGGCTGCTTCGTGCTGTGCTGGCTGCCCTTCTTCCTGGTGATGCCCATCGGTAAGTGTTCAGGACGCCTGGGCGTGGGGTTCAGTGGCCTTCACCCTCTTCCTCTTCTGGACCCAAGATCACAGTCCCTAGTGGAAGAGGGGTCTGGGTCTCTGTCAGCAAGGGCATTTGGGAAGGCTTTCTGGTAGAAGCTGAACATTCATTCTCTTTCTACTCCAATCTCGTTTACCCTGGGTCCCAGGGCACTTTTCAACTACTGTAAAGTGGCTTCCAACCGGTGCAGATTAATTGGTCTCCATAATAAGAATGTCAACTTCCTTAATGCCTTTAAGTATGTGTTTAATTTAAATCTGTCCGCCCTCTTTGGTGTCTGGGAGTCTCCAAGGAGTACTTAGGCTGACTGTCAAGACAGGGAGTGCAAATTCTCTCTGCCTGAAAATAAGCACCATGCTTATTTTAGACAAATGTGCCATTGTATTATTGCATTAGGTTTTCATAGGGGTTATAATGGTCTGCTTATTATGTTGTATAGGTGTGCTAATTTTATTTTCTGGATTAAATATGAAAGGAAAGATGGGAAACTTCTAACAACAAAAATGGTTTTATGTCTAAACCATCTTAAACCTTAAGGAGTGTTTTTCAATAATTGAAAATCGTAACGTTTTCAATAAGTAAATACTTCTACCTTTATTTTGATATTTTATTTTGATAGCAAATATTAAACCAGACACCATTTATATCCAAAATCATCTGGGAAGTTGGAGATGACATTGTTTGAAAATAACAGCATAATATTTCAAGCCCATTTTTTTTTTGCAGATGATAAATTAGCTATTGTCAAAACTAATTAGCTCATTATAAGTATCAGCAAGCTGGTCCACTTGGAATAGTCATCTATCTTTGAAAGGCCTTCAGTGACATCCCAAAATGGTTGTTTGCTATTTTTAGTTGGTGAGTCAAATATAGACCCACACTTTGCTTATCTACTAACTCTAACAAACAAACAGTCATGGTAAAAAATTAATTAAAATTTGTTTCAAGTGCTTCAGAGCCAAGTTTAAATGGCATGGACCTAAAGTATTTAATTTGCACCCTGAGTAAAAGCAGCAGCTATTATTTTTTGAATGCCAACCACATTCCAGATAATTTACCAGACTCTCTATTTCACCAGTCCTTTCAACATCTATTAACCTGAAATCACAAGTGGGGGCAGGGATTCTTCTGGCTCTAATACCAAAGTCACCAGCCACATGTAGCTACTTAAATGTGAGTTAATGATAAATAATGTCAAGATTAAGCACTTCCATCCCACTAGGCATTTTTCAAGTACACAATAGCTACCTGTGGCCAGTGGCTACTGTTTTAGTAGGAGAGATATAAACTATTTCTATTATCAGACAGGGCTTCTGGAGAGGCCCTTCCTGGTCCACCACCTGGCAATCTATTGTGCCCACCTTGTCATCATTACTTGCTCTGCTCCTGGAAGTGCACCTCGGCTTTGTGTTTATGAAAATGACACCCCTTACCTGAGCCACTGCCAGTTTTCCTACCTTCCCACATCCCACCTCTTCCTGCCTTCTGGATTTCTGCACATTTATTCATGCATTTGCTCAGTGGACAAGTATTTATTGAACACTTATTTTGGATAATCAAGGATGAACAGGACAGAAAAAGCCTTGCCCATGATATTCTTGCATTCTTTGGGAGGAGATAGAAACAAACAAATAAATATACATTTAAACGTCAAGGATTAACAAACACTATCCAAAAGTTGAGAGAATAAGACAACAGTGAGTGGCAAGGATGACGGTCAGGAAAGTTCTACTGAAGAGGTGATATTTGAGCAGAGCCCTGGCTGATATGAACAGCAAGCCTTGCGAAATCTGGGACAGAGAGCTCCCAGGAAAAGGAACAACCAATACAGCAATGGGAAGGAACTGGACCTGTTCAAGGAAGAGCACGAGGACCAGGAGGGCTGGCTGGACTACGGACAGCAAAGGGCCAGACGAGTTCAAAAAGAGGTTGGGGAATAGGTGAAATCAAAGGCAAGTGGGTCTTCTGGCCCAAAGTAAAATTTGCATATTATTCTAATTCTGTGGAAAGACACTGGGGGGGGGGGTTAGCAAGTGAGTGGCTAGTCTCATTTTATATTTTTAAAGGATTGTTATATTGGTTGGAGAATGAGATTCAGAGTGGGGCAAGAGGGGATTTAGGGAGACCAAAAGTGGAGGGGAGAGAGGGCCTGAGGCCTTAGATTCAGCTGGGGCAGGTGGAGGTGGCCAGGAGCGATCATGTCGAGCACTTACTTCAGAGGTCAAGCTAAGAAATTTGGACATAGAGTATGACATAAAGTAATGAGTTATTCAGGATTGTGGCCTGGATAAATAGGTAAATGGTAGCACATTTTACCGAGATTGGGAAAGCCTGAGAATGGGAGGGCCTGGTGGAAGTGGGCATTCAGAGCATTGATTCTAAACACACTGCTGGGAAATATCCGTTAACATCTGAGTGGAGATATAGATATATTAATTTGGAGCTTATAGGAGAAGGCGAGATTAAAATCTGGGACGTGCAGAGGTATACAAAGAAGCAGGAGAGCTCTGCCAAGAGAGAGGAACTGAGAAAAAGAGAAAGGTAAGAAGTGAGCCTTGGGGGTCAGGAGAAGGAGGACCAGCCTGCAAAAGCAATGGAGGAGAGACCCAGGAGACAGCAGGAAAATGGGGGGAGTGTGATGGGTCTGCAGCAGGAAGGAAATGGAATAGTCAACTGTGTCCCACAGAGCTGCAGGGCCCAGCAAGGGGGGCAGTAAGGACCAGGGATGGGCTTGGCAATGGGAGGTCCTCAGGGATGGAAGGGATTCACGTGAGGCTAACAGCTTCCCTGGAAGGATAGCAACTAAAGGCCGACCGTTCTTTCTAGAAGGAATGAGAGATGGAGTGCAGCAGGAAAAAGTGACAACCCTTTGGAGGTTTCTTCCTAGAGTAGTAGAGCGAGGAAAGGGTGTGCAACTGGAAGGCTCCAGAGAGTTTCAAAGGCGGGAAATGTGGCAGGCATCGTGGTGACATTTCAATGAGAACAATGGACTAGAGAGACTCTGGGTGACATAGGCCAGTGATAGGATTCTGTGCCCCAGGGAGGTTGGGAAGTGTCAGGAAGCCTTGGGGATGAGCACCAGGTGGATATGGAGGGAGAGAGGAAGGTGTCTCCCAAGTGTTTTCACAGCCTCCATGAAACAAGAAGCAAGATCATCGGCTCAAAGTGAGGCAGTGGTAGTCTGAGGAGCAAATGAAGATGTGGACTCTTGGGGTGGGAGAGAAAATAGATTACAGAAATTGAATGACAGGAGGTCCCGAGGGCCAGTGTGGGATTTATGTCATGAACCTAAAGTAGAACATTCAAGAGTCTGCTCTCCCCCCACCCCCCAGTGAAGCAGCCATGGCTAGAGGACATGACCACGATAGACTGTGAGTTCCAGGGATCCAGTGAAGAGCCAGGTCCCTTCATGGACACGGGCTGGGTCAGATTAGGGAACATGCAGAGTCAGATGACAGAAGGAGCCCCGGGATGACCGGTGACCTGACGTTTGGGGTTGTGCTGGTGACTGGGCTCTGACGGGAAGTGATACACCGTGGCCTGGGTTCTGGTGACCCCAGGGGAAGGTAGACTTTCTGGTCTCACTGCAGACTCCCTCATGGGTCTGTGCTCTCAGGGTGCTAAGATGTTGGGTTACAGGAGAAAAACAGTTAAAAATCTGACTGGGCTGCTCAGGGGCACAAAGGATCCCTAAGTCTCACCAATCTGGGGTCTGCAAATTCCTCTACCACCCAACAAGGGAGAGGGAGACCATTTGGCAGTTTAATAAGTAATGGGCACAGAACTAAAATTAAAGGATGAATAGAGCACACTTCATCCCCCCCGCAGGCCCTGCAGGACAGTTGAGGAGACTCTCTGTGAACCATTAGCATAGGTCTGGAAGATGGGCCCTCACAGCGGTGTTATTACCAGGAGGTAAAGAATAGAGCTGTTATCTGCACCCAGAAGTCACTACAGAAGGTCCCAGAAGTAGTGCCGTGGACTGAGCATGTTCTTAAAGACCATACTACTTCTGTTGGCCATCTGCAAAATGTTATCTGTTTTTATTAACAACCTTAAAGCACATTTTTCATGCAAAATGTGATCAGAAAAATAAATACGCCATTATGTTATCATACCCAAGGGACGAGAGCTCTTAAGTAGACAAATGCTCTCTTGGGAAAAAGAGGTTATCAGCCTGCATGAGGCTGCCAGAGAGCCAAGGGATCCAAACTAACCAGGACAGGGACCAGCGTGGTGTGCGGGCTACAAGGTGATGCGCCCTCATGCGATGGGAACTGACCAGGAAAATCAAGAGAGAGGTTCGCTTCCTGGACTCCACAGTGTGGGGTGGGTGGAGCCTGACTGGCCTGTTCCGAGGCCCAATCTTGCCAATCTTGCTTCCTTTTTCATCCCAAATGTTTGGTTGAAATTCAGACCCCTTCATCAGAGGAATGCGGCATTTGAGGTTGTTATCCATCATTGATTCCTTGGGGAGAATGCTTGGAAAAAGCAGCTTGGTCCACAGTGGGATGACTAGAGGGAACAGGAGGGTGTTAGCCTTCATCCAGGGACCCAGCTCCACTGCAGCTGCGTCATCTTCGCCTGTTTTATCCCCTTAGCTAGAGCCCACCAGTTCCAGAGGCCACATCCCAAATGGAAAAGTAGGGCCCTGAGATTTAAACCTAGGCTTTCTTTTCCATAAAACAGGATATCCTATGCAGGCCAGCTTCCTCCCATAGCACCCAGCACAGAGCAAATGAAACACGTGTCAGTCTTACCAGGATTCATAAGAATCACAGACCACTACTGACAGATGTCCACATGCAGATGTTTCCAGGAGAGGTGACTCTCCTTGGAGGTATGAGAAAGAAAGGATAGAAGAAAGGAGGGACTGAGGAGCCCCTTCTATTGAAGACATGGTTAGGACTCTGAATTCTGATCATGTTATCTGATGTAAATACAAAAGCCAGCATTAT